CAGCTTTCTTTCTCACTTTCGGTCTCTCGTTAATTAAAAATAAATAAATAAATAAAATGGAATGAATAAATAAATAATGTCCTAATGCAACATCACGCTCAATATCTTCCCATTTTCTTTCTTCCATCATGAAGAACGGATAACACCTTTGAGGGGGCAGCTTAGGAAAGAACTCCTGGCCTCTGAGGAAAGAAGAAGACCGGTTCACCCCAACTCTGACATACAGGAAGATGTGAATAATTATCTCAGAGCAAAGAAAACACAAGCCTGTTTATATTACAGACACAAAACACAAGAAAAGCCTCACTTTGTCCCCTGCCCTCCTTCCAAGGTAAAATGAAGATTACAGAAATGAGCTTTTACCACTCAGTTCACATTTTTTTTTTTTTAAATTGCCTCAGGACATGTGCACCAGCCAGGGAGGGAGAGAGAAGGAAAAAGCACTCCCGGAGGCCGAGTGGCTAAGCTTCCACTAAGGTGCCAGCTACAGGTAACCAAAGACAAGGAGGACCATTTCCTCTGTGCTCACGGGTCCCGGCTACCCTGCCTTGTCCAATACCCGCTGAGTTTACTCAGATGGGATCCACCCTGTGTCAAAAATGCAACACCGAGCCCTCGGCTGCTCCCAGTAGCTTATTTGAAAACCTTCATGGAAAGCTACGATTGGCCCCTATACCGGAAAATATCAGTTCAATTTTCTACTATGGTCTGAGATCAACTGGTCAAACAAACAGCATCACGATATGATTTTTTTTTTTTTGAGAGACGTTTTTGCTATAGGGCGCATGCTCTCACCAGACAGAGACAGACAGAGAGACAGAAAGTGAGAAATCACCCCCCCCGGGGGGGATGGCCATGCCTCATTCCCTTCTCCTCCATTCTCCTCTCAGAATCTTGGGCACGCACGCACATGCGCCCGGTCGGTGTTTAAGCCACCGGGTCCACCTTTACTGGATCTCCAGGACTGAGGTAGCAGACAAGGGAAGTGACAGAACATGGAGACCCACAAGGGAAGGTTTTGGCAATAAGGTGTAGCAGTATGCCCATTTACCATTGGCCACAACCTGGTTATATGGACTCATCTAACTGCAAAAAAAAGCTAGGAGATATAAATTTTCTGTGTGCTGAGTAAGTAAAAACATCAACTTTGGTGTTCACATATCAGCCTTAAATAATAAAATCTTAATTATAAAAGATTGACTAACTTATTTATTTATTTTAGAGAAATTTTTGCCATAGGGTACATATACTCACCAGAGAGACAGAAAGCAAGAAATCACCCTCCAGGGGAGATGGTCATGCTGCAATCCCTTCTCCTCCATTCTCCTCTTGGGATTTTGGGCATGCACGCACATGTGCCTGGCATGAGTTTTAAGACACCAGGTCCAGGACTTAAACTGTTGTTGACTATATGGGAGTCCAGCATCATTACCATAATGCAATCCCCTAGTCTCTGGAAGAGTTTTATATAAAAATTAAATCATAATCTATTCAAAGAGGTAAATAATAACAAAACAGAATAAAGCAGCTTAAACTCAGTATTATTTCCTCCAGCTTTTCATTTTTTTTTTTTTTAAGAGAGGTTTTTTACAATAGGGTGTGCGTGCTCACTGGAGAGACAGAGAAAGAGAGACAGAAAGCGAGAAATCACCTGTCAGGGAAGATTGCCACACCCTGCAACCCCTTCTCCTCCCGTCTCCTCTCAGGATTTTAGGCACTCACACACATGTGCCCAGCCTGAGTTTTAAGCCGCTGGGTCTGAGACTTGAACCACAGTTGACTTCATGGGAGTCCAGTGGCGGAACCATTACATCATTCGCTGGTCCCTGTTGACTACGTTTTTAATTGCCAGAGGGCACATGAGCTCGCCAGAGACAGACAGGGGGAGAGAGAAAGAGAAAGCACCCTTATGGGGTGTGATAATGGCATGATCCCTTCTCTTCCAATTCTACCCTGTCGGGATTTTGGGCACGCGTGCACCCGTGCCTCCATCTCCACTCTTTCTTCCTTTCCTTCTTTTTTAAAAAAATCTGCCACATGGTGTGTGCATTCACTGCAAAGACAGAGATGGCAAGAGGGCAAGTGAGAAAGCACCCTTCGGGGGGCTGGCCACACCACAATCCCTTCTCCATTCACTTCACTGGATTTTGGTGCACACACACACACGGCACCTGGCATGTTTTCCAAGTCGCTGAGTCTAGGATTTGAACTGCACACCTGGCCATGTGCGACCCAGCACTTACTCACTATGTCACCAGCTGGCCCTCCACTCACTTTCTAACAGTGCTCAGCACATAAGAGGCTTCCTGTAAACGGCAGCCACCAGGTGGCCATCACACAGAGGCCAGGCACCGCGCCCCCCCCCCCCCCCCGACGGGGGCGGGG